GGGGGGGCGGGGGACCAAGCTGGGGCAAGGGGGGTGGAGAGCTCCAATAGCACGTTTTCACCTGCCATTTAATTGGATGTATTTTTAATTAATGGGACCTCAGGGACCAACATGAGACAATCTGATCTCTGAATAGGGACAGGGGAGGGATTGGGTAAGGGAGGAGGATTGGGCCACTGGGTGCGGTTACCGGGAACCCAGGCCCATCAATCACTGGCCACTTTGCGTTCTGGCATGGAGAGTAGTGAGGTGGAGGAAGAGGGGAGGCACTGAGGAGAGGTGCCAGGATTTACCCCAACTGCCAGGAGCTTCCAAAAGGATGGAACTGTACCGGTTGACTCAGGTCTGGGGCCCAAAATTGCAGCCAGAATATTAGGTAAGGCTGTTTTCTTGCTCTTAGGGTTTTGTCCAAGTGGGCTTGTCCCAGTGAGTGCTATAACATGAAGTGAAAGGAAGGTGGGGACAGAGCTTTGAAGAGAGAGGACAAGAGCTAGGGACCATGGAACCAGAGACTGTGGTGAGAGAGAGAGGAGAGGGGCAGGGTTCAGAGATATTTCTGTACAGTTAGACATGAAATAAGTGCCATGGAGATTACATCAGAACAGCATGCAAATGAGGCCTGGTGCCTTTGGGGTATGAATCATAGAACCTTACTGCTGCAAGGAAGAGAACTTGGAGCTCATCTTGCTGAACCCTTCATTTTGTAGATGTGGAAACAGAGACCAGGAGATGGGAAATCAGCTGAATCCTGTCCTGGTGTTGCTTTGTGTTCCTGGAGTTGGAGACTTCCTGGGAACAGGGAAAGGTAGGGAGGTAGGGTGTGGGGGGAAGTCAGGGGAAGAGTGTGGGCAGAATATCATTCTCTACTGCTTGGGGCCTCATGTCTCTGGACCCTGAGTCTTGGAAGCAACTCAGGGGAGTCAGGCAGGGGCACTACTTGGGGACATTTCCCTTATACAGCCTATTCTAAAGATTATCTCATGCATTCCCTTGCTTCCAGGCAGACAGATCCCACCCCACCCCCACTTCCATGGGATTTTACCATACTTTATAAGGTCCACAGAGAATGAAATGCACCAACTACCCCAGTTCCTTAACCTAGAAATAAATCCCCCAATGATGACTAAATATTGAGGGGTTTTTTGACATTTTATCACAAGTTTCCCTGCTGTAATATAAGCTACTAGAGAAAATTAAGCTAAAAAAAAATCCTGAGGAGTGGTCTTATTCCTCTTGTCCATGTCTGAGCTGAGAACAGAGATGGAAATGAAACTCCAGGCTCTGAAAGCGGAGTCAGAATCACCCCCGTATTCATGCGGTGCCGTGGCCCCAGCACTCTCAGCCAGGCCCCGTCTGGCTCTGTGTGGTGTTGGCGCACACTGGAGAGAAGGGCACATTTCCCCATCTCCTGCTTCCTTCACTTTTCAGACTCAAGGGTTAAGAAGGGAGAGAAGGAGAAAAGGGACTTTCCTGCCAGGTTACCAAAGGTGGCATTTCCTGGCATCTTCATCCTTCCTCAAAAAATTTAACATTCTTTGTTCTGTGCTTCATGAGACTGAGTTGGGGTTAGGGCAAGGATGGGTAGAGAGCTTGGAAAGCAGTGTGGGTAGAAGCTTTGTCACAATCTCCAAACCCGCGACACCTTTCCCCCACACCCAGAATTGTCCTCTCTTCTGTCTTAGTGCCCCATTTTATATCCTCAAAGGCCCTGGTCAAGAGCAGGATGTGCCTCTAAGTGTCCCCAGCCTCACCCTGCTCTGTTCTTAGACCCTCAGGGTCATCTTCTTGGCTCTCTGATTCTCCGCCTTCTCTACTGCCAACAAGATAAGAAAGGCCCCCTCGCATCCCTCTAAACAGTCCGGAAAGAATTCTTCTAGCTCCGCCACTGCTTCTGAGGACCTGCAGGGGTGGGGGTAGGGTAGGAGAACTGTGCCAGGGAGTTGCAAAGGAAGAGTCACTCGTCGGGGAGCTCAGGACGAAGCCTGAAAGTGAGGAGAAAAGAGGGAAAATTTGTGAACTGAGAGTCCTGTTGTCCCGCCTGTGGGGCTGGATGCCTAACACAGGGCAAGCTGTTCATATTGAATATTTTTCAGGGGATTTATTAGGTGGCTCCTGTTTACAGAGCCTGTTTCTCCTCCGAACCATAGAGCAGTGGAGAAGAGCATGCAGTGAAGAAAGTGGGGAGAGGATGTCACTCCTTGTCCACCCCTGCTCCAACATTGGAGGCATGTTGGGGGAGCTAAAGGGCCCTTAAAACATTCAGTCTAGATTCTGGACATTTCTCTAAGGAACAGGGTCTCCTTTCCTCCTTTCCCCCAAGCCCCACCAGTCCTGCCTCATATTACCAAAGTTTAGCCAAGAGTGCCAGGTCTTCAGCCCTGGAGTCAAGTCTGGAGCCAGCTCTGGATTCCAGAAGAAACCCTGAACCTTTGCAGGGAAAGAGGAATAGACTTAAAGTGGAACACAGAGGTAGCAGTACCGAGAATCCCCTGCACTCTGGAGAAAAGAGAATCATTGAGGGACTCAGTATTGGCCCAGGGTTTAGCTTTTGCTCTGGTAGGACCCTTTTCCTCCTCCCTCGGTGTGTCTCACTGGATGGAACAAGATCTGGATATCTGAACCTACCATTTTGACACCTTGGAGGTTGTCACGCAGATCCCCTCTAGCTCCCGGGGGAAGGGGAAGGAAGGCATCTCAGAGGTGGCAGTGCCATGATGTCCTCAGCACCCAGGGAGAGAGGTCAAGGAGAAACTGACCAGAGAGGGATCCAGGAGGAGATACCTGCTTCTGAAACAGCCTCCTTACCCCATTCTTTCCTGCGCCCCCTCTCACATGCCAACAAGGCTGTATGGCCAAGTGTGTCAGATCTCCTGGTAGGTAATCCTGCTTTCCGTGCAGGCAGCTGGCTCTTTGCTCATGCATAGAGCTCATGCCGAGGTCCCTTGCACTCCTTTGCTCACTCATTTCAAAGTGTACATGTGTTGCAGATTCCTAGAGATAAAGGAGGGGGCTCTACCCCTGTAAGTAGGAAGATGGCGGGCTCTGGAGCCTTTCGGGTGCATATTTGCTTTGCTGGAAGAGTGAGGAGGGAGAAGGCTGCTGGCAGCTCAGCTGAGCTCAAGGTTTTGGTGACTCATAGTAGTGGGGGTGGCTCATGAAAACAACAGAGGGGAAGGGGGCCCAGGCCTGTTAGAGCTCTCTTTTGTCCATTTCTCCCCCACTCTGAGCTCTGTGGATAAAAGTCTCTTATCTGGATTGTGGGGCAAGGAGAGGTCAGCTATGAAGGAAGAGATGGAAATGGAAAAGAGAGCAGGGGAGGCTGAGCATCCTAGTACAAGGCTGCCCAGTGAGGAAACGATAGGAGAGGCCAATTATACTTGCTCTTACTGTAACCATTGGCTGCACAGAGGTGCTGGGCATCCACATGTGCTGGGGCAGCTCAGTGCTCCTGGGCACCTTCCAGAAGAGAAGCTTTCCAGGCAGACACAGCTCCTTCTCCCTGCCCTTACTTTCCTGCTCAGAGCTCTGGGTACCCAGCTGACACCACATGACTTAGGGGTTTTTTTAAAAACTTTATTTGACACCACATGACTTAGGAATTTTTTTTTTTAACTTTATTTATTTATTTATTTATTTACTTATTTATTTATTTAAAATATATCTTTTTTTATTTCAGAGAGAGGAGGGAGAGGGAGAGAGAGAGTTGAAACATCAATGATGAGAGTCATCATTGACCGGCTGCCTCCTTCCTGCACACCCCCGACTGGGGATTGGGCCCACAACCCGGGCATGTGCCCTGACCGGGAATCAAACCGTGATCTCCTGGATCCTAGGTTGACGCTCAACCACTGAGCCACACCTGACAGGGCTAAAAACATTATTTTAAGACCAGTTGGTCTCTATACTCTCTTCCCTGGAAACAGGCACCATAGATCCTCAAAGGTGCTGATTCTCTCTCCCCTTACAGACCAGGTTGGCAGTGTGCATATCCTCCATCCTTTCTGAATCGGGAGGATGATAGGGTACTTTATTTGAGATCACACCAGCAGGAAGGGACCAGAAGATGGACCAAGAGAACCAGCCATGCCTTTGACCACAGTCCCAGGGGCCTCCTTCTTTCAGCAAAGGGAAGCAGGGATCTTGGATACCAGTGTATCCAGATACATAATAATAAATACCCTCCCTCTAAACTGGGAAGGATTGGCTAAGCGGAAGGGACTTCTCCAACAGAGTCCGAGTACTCATTTGCCTGTTTCTGTTGCTTTCATTGCTGGTGGCTCTACTCTCCAGCTGGGGTGAGGGGCCCCCTGCTGAGATGCTCCTGAAGATTCAGAGACGGATTTGGTTGGAGAAAGAGACAGACCAGCTGCCCTTCATGTAGGAACATGGGACCAGCTCCACTTCCCCAGCTCTCCCTGACAGCATCAGGAGCCCAGGCCTCGGCTGGAATACCCGTAATAAAGCTCAGTCCTGAACTAAAGCAATAATTACCTGGCTCTGGTATAAAAGTGGTGCTGTGAGGGGGTGCACCAGCTGTGGTGAGATGTAAGAGTGAGTGAGTGAGTGAGTGAGTAATATAAGAATCACTCCTCAGTAGCACATGCTCTCCTCTTTCTCAAACCTCTCTCTCCTTGGCCCCCCTGTTTCTTCCACCTTCCTTCAGCCAACTCCACTCCTGGCCATTTTATCCCCTCCTGTCTAAGAAGACATGGTAAGTAGTTGTCTGTTTCCTGTCTATACTTTTCTCTCTCTCACTCTCCTTCTCTTCTCCCAACGCCCAGCCAAGAGTTAACCCATTTGAATTCTTTCCACCAGTGAATGCCATCAGGATCTGAACCCAGAGTCCCCCGCCTCTGCCACTCCCCTGACTCTGAGACTGCCACTCTGACTGAGACTGACTCATCAACCCACGTCCTCCCACAAGTACAGCCAGGCCAGGACTGGTATGTCCACTGGTACCAAGGGCCCTGACCCGAAGCAGAGGGCAGCCCTAGGGGTGCTGTGGAGCCTGGCCCTAAATGCGTGTATGCCTGTGCATTGGGCACACTGGTTTATTAGTGTTATTTCAGCATTGTGATGCAGAGAGAGTAAGTGTAACAGCTGCTCCTTACTTGCAGTGTTTATTGTTACCTAGAGACAACCTCCTGGCTTTTTCCCAGCTCCCCCTCCCCCCCCAGCCCAGCCCCCTTCTTGCCAACAGTCCTACTCTCCCCACACTGATGGGAAATTTATAGCTTGCCCATACCATGCCTTTAACCCTCTCCTCTCCGTAGGGTAGATGGTAAGGGAAGCCAAAGAGAGCAGTGGGCATGCTTGGGCCCCAGCAGGTAGAATAGTGTATGGAGGAGGGAAGGACAGAGGGAGGGAGGGATGAGACCTCCCCTCCCCAGTCGATGTGTCCAGACTCAGGCCCCAGTTGTCCTCCTGCTTCTCATGTTGAGATGAAGAGCTTTCGACCCAGCCTTGGGATCCCAACATCCTCCTCACATGATTATTCTCTTTCTTCCCTGGGCATCTCTAAGGCCCCAGTTGACTGCCTGGTCCTGAGCAAGTCCAGCAAGGTAGTACTGAAACAGGATGAATAAATACTGAGTGGCAGAACCTCCACCCCCCCTCCTTTCTATAGAGATGTTATATGGAAACAGATACGCGGCTCCGACATGAGGAATACTGGCCAGACCTCCACAGCTAGGTAGATGTCAGGCATGAATCTGGCTGCTGAGCCTGGTGGGAAAAACTGCCCATGGTAACTTCACCCTGAGCCTGGCACTAAGGTCCTGAGGGACTCCCAGGCCATTCTTCAAGCTGCTCTCCTTGGTCTGACTAAGCTATTCCTTTCTGCTTTTCTTCCTGGTCCATTTTCTCCTGCTTATCTTTGGTTTGATACCTTGGGGCAGATCCAGGAGACCAAAGGGACTGAAGTTTCCTAGTCATGGCCTGAACAGAACTGGGGAAGGAGAAGCTCCTCTCTCCCCTCCTGACTTAGGACCTTTCATGGAGGGACACTATGCCATATATTCACCATCTCCACTGCTAATGAGAGGGAAAAGGGTCATATTTTAGCAGAAAGGATAGAGGTCAGACATGGAAAAACTCGTGAATGTAAGACTTCAGAATGGGACTACTTCTCTTCAGAGATTTTGCTTCTGCCTGGATGGATTTAAGTCTGTGCCTACCCAAGGGGCATCAGAAGAACAGGGTTACTTTTCTGGTGCTCCTTCAGATGTGGGCCTCAGTGCAGGCTTCACACACTGCACCCCTCCTCAGTCCTTCTAGATGTAGTGTGTTAAGCGGCCAGCCTTGGGTCCCAGTGCTAGCGCTGCCATTTATCAGCTGCGCTATCTTAGTAAGTCACTTAACCTCTTTGAGCCCTACTTTCCTTGTCTGAAATGCAAATGAACAACCTCTTAAGATTGTGGAGAGAATGTAGTGAAATAATGAATGTAAAGCACCTAGGACAGTGCTTGATACTCAGTAGGTGCTCATTCAACAGGGGGTGATGCAACAGAGTCTATTACGTTTATCGCGTCAGCAGGGCTGACATTGCTTCAAAGACTCCATGAGTCCCCTGAAATTATAGTCCAAATATGTATATATATATATGCTGGGGAGAATGTCCATAGTTTTCTTCATGGTGTGGAGCCAGGGGTGACAGTCTCCAGAAAAGAAAATAGCCCCAATCCCTTGACTCAGACTCCCCAATGAGACAGTTCCCCCATTCCCATTCCTCTCCAGCCAGGAGCACCTTAGGCAGTGTTCTGCCGGAAGTACATCTTTGTCTAGGGTGGAGCTGGGAGAAACAGACATTAGGATAGCAACACCTAATATTTGCCAGGCACTTTACACTTGTTAAGTACATTTACCTACATTAGCTCTTTTGACACCCATAACACCTCAGTAAAGTCCACTGCCATTTATTGAATGCCTACATTGTGCTGGGTGTATATTTTTAAAGTATGTTTCAAGTCTATAGAATATTTCATTACCTAGATATGTCATGATTTATAAGGCTCATCTCCTATTTTTAGTCTTTCAGGTACTTTTACTGTTCTAAATAATACCACAACAAACATCCTAACACATAAAACTTCATGGATTTTTTATAGTAAATTCCAAGAAGTGGAATTATTGGATCAACAGATACAAATACCCCCCCCCCCC